CAACTTAATAATTCAATAAATGCATATAAGAAATTTTATAAATATGAAATTTATTGAATCTCAGAAATACTAAGATTTTATCAAAGTAATGCAAATGAAAATGTCAAGTTAGGATTCAAATCTATACTTGTTTGGCTCCAAATCTCATGATGTTTTACAATAACCACACTACATTATGCTTGGAAATAATAAAAATTTGTACTGGGATGTGTCTGCTACAGTTTTTCTAAGGTATATGCATCTAACCAGAAGACAATTTTATTTTTAAAAAAGGAGTTGGAGTTGTGTAGAAGTTAACAAGAAAGGCTTTGTAGAGGAAGAGGATTTACTGTAAGAAAGTTAATAATACTTCTCTATGACCAATACCTTGTAAGAAAAAGGTAAGATGTTATCCTTCGGCCTAAAATTCTTTTTTTTTTTTTTTTTTTTTGGTACTGGGGATTGAACTCAGGTCCTTGCACTTGCTTGCTTAGCAGGCGGCGAAACCACTGAGCTAAATCCCTGGCCCATCGGCCTAAAATTCTATATATCATCTTCCTCAACCTTGAGATTTCATGCCATGATTTCCCAAACTTACACTGCTGACAGATTCTCCAATGTTTTCCTCTGGGCACTCGTAGGTATTCAATTGTCCAAGGGCACAGAAGTCAGCCCTAACTTCACTCACCACCATTCCCTCTAAAGCTTCCCAGAACTCTTTATTCTAGTTTCAGTGAATATTGGAAAGAAGTTTTATTTACCTGATTAAAGGCATTCACACCAATCTATAGCTTCAATCTTTCCTGTACTTATTGATTCTATAATGACTTTGACAATTTTTTATGTAACCTAGGAGATGCTGCCAATTTTAATTGCAAGATACCGTAGATTTTAGTACACATCCACATTTCAGATCTTTTAATACATGGCAAACTATGAGGTTTAGAATTGATAAAATTCTGTATCAATGGTCATTAAGGTAAGGGAGAAGAGGACAACAGTTAACTCTATTCTCTCTCTGCCTCTCCTCACAATACTCTGTATAAGGTACTCTTCTAGGGGCATGAGATCCCATAGTATTTAACCTAGAAGAATGTGAATTCTCACTGCTGAATAAATAACAAATAATTATAGCTCAAACTCCCCCAGGAGAATAATATGGATACTTAAATCTGTGCCTTACTGTGTGTATGAATAATATGGATACTTAAATCCGTGCCTTACTTACTTACTCTATTACCTAGTGAACATAGTAGGCACTCAGTTAACATTTACTGAACAGACTTAAACTGAAAAGAAAATTCCCATAGTTTATTATAGGCCAATTTATTTTGTGGAAGATTCTGGGTGCATTTAAAGAGAATGCATCCCCATCTTGTGGCAAGGAAAATAAATTCCCTTGAATTCACAGCTAAATTGCATTTCTCTTTCCAACTCTATCCTTCATACAGGCCCAGGGCCTCTAATGAAAACCACCCAACCAAGCTCATTTATCATGCAGGGAGCTGGTAGGTACCAGAGACAGATGAATATTAGTTCTGAGACTTCCAGCAATCCATGATAATGGGAAAGATGATATCAAACCTACAACAATGAGATTACTCCGCTAACGATTCAGAGTCAGCTCAATCCAACATTTTCACTGTTATCTAGCAATCTCATACTCTTTTTAGGCATAGTGTATGTAAATATCTAATTAATGACTGTGAGCCACATTTTCTTCTCAATAGGATTCTGAGGAAATTATCTGATTGTGTGTTTTGCCTCACTTTTCTCCCTCAGAGTGTTGATCCAAGAATACTAGCAAGATCAAAGAAGGAAAAAAATTTAAAATATGACAGCTCTAATTGAAGATTTGTATATTCTTTTTATTTTCCTGATTCTAATAGGCTTCCTTTTGGGGAAAATAACACATTGGGTTTTAATCACGGCAGGTTTTCCAAATACTTGAATTATGATAATAACTCCTTGACAACTTGTTTAGGAAATGTGTCTTGTGTTATAAAAATGCATGTGCTTAACATCTGATACTGTACTGCTGAGCTGGAAGTAGCTTATACTGGCTAGTGAGAAACTCATGGATCTCACTTTCCAAATACATTCAGTAGCTTTAGGTTGGTAGCCTGAAATCAGCCATGATGGGAGTATTTGTGCTACAAAATTGGTAAACATTACCAAATGGGGCTTTTTTTCTGGAAAAATTGTACACATTTATAGAATTGTATACATTTAGAGGAAAGGTACACAGAGTGTCTTTCCCAAGATATCCTAAAAATATATCTTGTTTAGTATGAAGATCATCTCTTTAGAGCCATAAGGAAAAGGACTGACCTACCCCCAGGCTACCTCCTGGCCTGAGTGCAGAAGCTCTAGATAGATTCGTGTTTCCTTCACCTTTAAAGTTCCTTAGGCACCATGCCAATGAACTGGCAGTCTCAAAGCTGCAAAAAAACCCCTCTTCCAACCTTAGTATTTCATATAAGGTTCATTACTCATACATGGCTACTTATAAAACTAATGTGAAGTGCTTCAATTAAAAAAACACATCAGACACACAGGCTTAGATGTGGCATGGTTTCTCTTATATGAGAAACCCAAATTATAAATAAACAGCAAACAAAAGACAGATGATAAGAAATAGGAAGATCGATCTTTTTCAAATGGGAAGGGGATCAAGAGATGGAGGGAGGCAGAAGGGAGAGGAGGAAAGGGGTGAAAAGCAGAATGAAGATATGTTATGCACGTGCACCAACTGTACACAAGGGATGGAAACATTATGTACTGAAAACATTTACTAATAAAAAAAAGCACTGCGGTGAAACCATAAAATCTAACACAATTTTCAAAAAGAAGAGAATAACAAGTGAGAAAGTAAATACATGTAACAGAAAATCTAAGGTAAGAAAAATAACTGAAGTTGAAGAGATTTAATTCTGAGATTCCTGGAATGCAAAAGATAAAACAGAAAATGGAAAAGTTCATATATTTACATATATATATGATCTAATCTTCAGATATCATATACATCAGATATATATATGTACATATATATGATCTAATCTTCAGAAAAATAAACATTTCCCCCAACTCTAATATTTTTCAAATAAGTATTGAGCAGCATAACAAATTATAGCCTAATAATTCAATTTGTTGAATGTTCAGATGATTATTCATCATGTACATGCTGAAGATCTAATATACAAAATAAAGATCCCATAATTGGTTGCTTTTATTGTTTTGTTCATACTTACTTCTGTAACCAAGCTAGCTTCAGACTAGTTTTGATTATACTATGCAGCCTTTTGGAAGCTTTGCTAAAGAGCTAATTATAAAGGAACCATTGGGCAAGGAGAAGGATATGTTGGGAGGAAGAAAGGCAAAGGAGACTCCATGGAAGTTCTTACAGGGAGTCTTTCAAACATTTAGAAAGAATGAACCTCAAATATAAGTGCTTTCAATGTAATCCAGTCTCCCAGCTCTGCCCTTTCTCAATTTATGGTGGTCAGCATACAGAGCAGAGATCAGCATCTGTTTACAAAGATGGAAGGGTCCCTAAAGAAGAAATAAAAGAATCATTCATTCCTAGACTTAAGAAGATAATTTTGTTCACCCTCATGCTAAAGGAGTTTTTCCTACAAAGCCACCTCCAGGTCATCATCCAGGTCTTGAAGGTTTCTAAGGACAGGAAGTAATAGTCTACATAAAGTAGTTTCCACCTCTTTTGGGTAGCTCTAACTATCAGGAGTTATGGGTTCACACTTATCTCAAATATACACTCCTGTCAGTCAAGCACAGAAGATCTGCTTTTGCACTCTGTGTGACACCAGTGTCATGTTTTCCACATGACAGCTCCTGATGTGGGAAGGGAAGTCTCCTACTCCCAACTCTTAATCTTTTATCCTCCAGGTTAAACATATTCATTTCCATCAATCACCCAAAGATTTACAGAAAAACTCTTAAAGGTGCACAATGCATCCTAGAAGAACAAAATTATGCTATTTTTACATTTTATGTTATGTTTACTGGGATTTGGCCACTGGTGATAATTAAAACTAGCTTATTTGATAAAAGATTTTTAGGACACCAGAGTGTTTAAACTGTAATAAAATTTAGAACCACAGTGAACATAATTAAACATTTCTTTGACATTGTGGCAGGTGTAAGATGACTACAGAGAGTATGGGAGCCACGTTTGTGGCACAGGTATAAGCAGGTGCTGGTGAAATGAATTTTCTGGCCAGTAAAATAAAAAACAAGTTTCTTTAGTCACAATTAAGGGATTAATCTTTTCCCATTCAATGCTCTACTAATACAGCCTTGACTTTATTTCTATTTTTCATTTTAAACTTTTGTTAGCATTTATAATTTTTAAACTCAAAGCATAAAATCTAGTAGCACCAGTTCAGTAAAGAAATAGGCAAACAAGGAGCACAGAAAATTCTTACTTTCATTTAACCGTCCATTCTTGTCAAAACACAATGTTTAAAAAGTTCTTTAAAATTAAATTAAAAAGGTAGAAAGTGTTGGAAAAAGTACAACACCAAAGAAAATTCTTGTAAGCAATTTTCTGTAGGATAAAATAAAGTTGTTGATGAGCCAACTCACACATTTTCCCTCTTGGTTTGGACAGTAAAGCAGTCATTAGGTGTGATTATGATATATTTGCTTCCTATAATTTATCTGGACCAGGGATACTGATGGAGAGATAGCATTTGAGCCAAACCATGATGTATCCTCCCATTTTTAAAAATGTAGACAGCTCATTTTCCCTTTCAATCATTCAGCCTTGGCACTTGCCTTACCTACTCTCAGCAGTTAAATGGATTTTTCCAGACAGTTAAATAAAAATATGTCGCATAAATACCAGGTTAGCTTCCAAACTGCAGAAAGGCTCTTTGACAAATGATGTCTACCATCATGTTTTAAAAGAGCCTCATTTAATCAGGCCAGCAAACAGCTCCTTTAGCAATGAATACTGTCCAGCATCACCAGTTATGAAATGGAAAAAAAAATTAACTAACCTTAAGAGGAGAAATATGAGACTGTAAGACATATCCATGGACATTTTCTATTTGAGACAAGTTCTTTTCTGATACATGCACGAGTTCTGGACCTCTCACTTCATGAGTTAGCCGAGGTAAAGAATGATCATGTGGAGCATCCTCATCTTGATATCGATACTTCTAGGCAAAAAGGAAAAAAAAGAGAAAGTATCAGTGTCTGCAAAGGCTGTATTCTGACTTCACATTCTAAGTCACTCATTGGGTACAGTGTATGCCTATTGTTTACTTCCCCAAAGAAGCTTTGCAGCATACTTGTTTGACAATCACCACAAACCTGCTGAATGCAATTGAACTAACCATCAATATCAACTGATGTTAGTGAATTAATTTGGCCTGATGATATGCTCGTTTATGAGCTACGGAAAGGAACTGAGAAAAATCCTTAAGTAGAGGAGGAAGTATCCCTCCAAATGACCAGAATAACTAAGTAAGTGGTAAAATTTTAGGTCATGGATAGAGAGAAAAAAGTGCCAAGAAAACAGAATTCAGATATATCCTATTCAGAAAATTTAACTTTGATTCAGAATTTGTGAAAAATGTAAGTTACCTGGAAATGAGAAAAAAAATGTGCCACCTATATTTTTATTAGTCAGAAAGAGAAGACAATTTACTCTTCCCTCATTTCATCCCTTATGGAAATATTATTTGGGTTAGTTGGATTCCTTCAAAAAAGATCACAATAGCTAAAAATGAGGCTGGCAATAAAGAACTTCCAACATCAAAGCAAATGATCTGTTTTTACTTAAATGCTTCCTTGAGGAAAAATATTTCCTTCTCTCTTGTTTCCTTTTCTTCTTGTCTTAACTGTCTTCTTTCTATCTGCCCATAGCAGTAAGAGAATTCTCTGGCAAAGACCGTGGCTTAAGCCTTCCAAGCAAATTTCAGAAAGTTGGGAGAGAAGAACGTTAGAATAAGAAATAGTCTGAGAGGACACAGCCCTGGACATAGGGTTAACCTTTATCATCAGTGCTGGCTGTGTCTCAATGAACTCTGTCTCTCCCTGCTTTTCACCTCTTTTCCTTTGGAAATGTTTCAAAGTCTCATCGTTTCAAGGTTGTTGGCTTGTGTCACAAAGAAAACAGAGAACATTCTATAGCTGACTCCCAATCCAGCTAATAATGTGTTAGTTTGCTTTAGTTTGCCTTTATATTATGGGTATCACAGTGGTATCAGGGGTATGGATTCAAATATTGCTATTAGCCCACCTCAGGCTGAGCAGTTATGTGTAATCTCTTTTCAGTGCCCTATTATCATTAACACCAACAGTTATTTTGCCACATCAGTTACTAAAAACATGTCTTGTTACAAACCCATGCCTATGTTTTTCACTCATTTTTAGATAAATTTGCTTTCTTGGACATCAGCTCTCAGTATGGTTCATAATCTGATAGTAATAAGAACCACCCCAGGGTTAGTAATTCAATTTGTTACCCAGTCTTTAAATCAGAAGCTGATTAACAGTACTTGTATTTTCAAGGGAATCTTCCTGCAATGCCCAAAGTTTTATTAATCTCAAGACAAAAATTACAATTAACAATGTCTAAAGAACAGTTTACAAAGAACCCTTACACACTTCTTCTGCTGCAACCATCCTTAGCCATGATGTACCATTTAACCCATGATGAAAGTAATACTCAGAGAAATTAAGGTGATTGTCCAGACTCATGTAATCATCAGAGCCCAGAGGATTTGAATCTGAATCTTCCTTTTATTACCATTAGTCTCTCCTCCACCTTCATGAGAAGCCCCAGTATGACAGCTATTGACAGCTTGGTAGAAAAACATCATTGAGAATACATGACAAAATGAGGTTAGCCCATTTCTGTGAACTGAATATAGCATAGTTCTTGTTTCCTAACCCTATGGATAATTGGAGAAGGTAATCTGCCTCAGAAACAAGGGTTACCACTTCACATTTATTCTTGATCAGTTATGATTTCAGTGGGAGTGTGTAATGTGACATACAAGCCCATTTTAGTTTCCCTGGCTTGTAGCCCACCTCCCTTCGTATCTGCTCCACCTTCTCAAATCTCCCTCATGAAGGCACTACTATGTAATCATCAGAGTCAGAGAAGTAGCCATCAGCTAGATTCTTTTCTTGTACTTCTACTATATGTCCATTTAACAAATTTCTGAGTCTGTTTGATGGTATCCTAAATAATTATCGAATCTACTCCCTCCTTATTCCCATCCCAACTCCCCACACCATCCACTGCTAAAACTGTCCACATTCAAGTTCCCATCAACTCTGTTACTTTTGAATTATTTTTAATCACTTTCACTTCAGTAATTGTGTACTAAATATAAATAAATCATAACTTCCAGTTTTTACTTTATTATATTTTAAACTACCCATTTAAACCAGGTATTTTTAAGTGTGCATTTCAGAAGTACTAATTATATTCACCTTATTTTACAACACATCTCCAGAATGTCTTCATCTTGTGGGTGTTTTCATAGTTCCCTATGGACTCCAATCACAACTCACTTGTTATATAATTGTATATTTTTCTGTGTGTCCATATTAGTGGTATTCACCCTCATATCTCCAGTTTTTATCCAATTACCTACCATATATGATCATTAAGTATTTGTTAAGTAAAATTATAAATGCCTTTTGAATAAATGGGTGAAATTGCTGCTTAAAGTACAAAACTGTTTTATCTACTAGATGCATCTTTTATTATAAACCATTATGAGCCCCTAAACCATATTTTTGACACATACCTGAAGGGCATCAGACTCTCTCCCCTCATCATTCATTTTATAATATATGCTGAGAATATAAACTGAAAAGAACAGTTCCTATTTAGAGAAGATCATATATTTTTAATCAAATTATACACGAGCACAGATAAGCTACTATACATAGTGATGATAGCTAAAGTATATACTGTGTTCAGCTGGAGCAGAAATGGTTCAGACAAACATTGTCTGAAGCTCCCCAGTTTGAAACAGGGTCTAAAATTACATCGAAAGACATAATGGACAGTCCAAGAAAATCACAACATATGCAGAACTCTGAGGAGGTAACACCCAATCTGATTATCAAGGTCCTGAAAAGTTTTGCCAGGAAGAGTTGAGTCAGACCAGAGCTAGAGGACTAAAATAGTCTTGTAAGGCATTTAGGGCTTTAGAGGATACCTTTATCTTCCAGGTAGAATGTTTAGGAAATCTTTAAAAATCATCTAAGGAGAGTGATTAAACCATTTTGCAGAGGTTACTCCCTAATTTAAGATCATTTCTAATGTTCTGTGAAAGTCTGAATCATCCTTCCTAGGGTTAGCATCAGTAGGTGCTAATGCCATTCTGGGCAACTTTGAGAGTTTCTGTATTGCCTGTGAAGGAATGGGGGGAATTAGAGAAGGCCTCTGGTTTGAAATGTGTAGCTTCTTCTTTTCTCCTTAGCTGTGTCCATTACCAGAGACTGCAATGAAAGAACTTTTGTAAACAAATACTTCTATTTTCAGCTCTAGTGGGAGTAGAGGCATGAAAAATGTTCAAGACAGGAAAGAATGAGGTATTATTTGTGTGTCCCTGTCTTATTCCATTTCATTTCTTAAAAACAAAACAAAACCACTGCCTGCCTTGCAAGCGGGAAGTCCCAAGTTCGATCCCTGGTACAAAAAAAAAAAAAAAAAAGAAAAAACTTCTGGAGTTCTATCCTCTCCTCATTCCTTAAGCTTAGACCTGCCTGCAGTCCTGGACTCCATCTGGCAAACCTTTTCAGGACCTTGATAATCAGATTGGTGTCACCTCCTCAGAAGCACTTTCTGACTGCTAAAATTGGCGAGGTATCTCTCTAGGTATCCCACCGTGTTCTGCACCGTTTCCTGTTGTGAATGACAACTCTCTCCTCCATGAGCCCTATGAGCCCATAAGTGTTTCAAGAGCAGATATGGAACCGTTTTCATCTCTGAATCTCCAGTGCCTGTCTGACAACTGACCTGAAGTCAGAGACTAATGAATGCTAGTTTATAACAGAATGAAACTTAAATGATCTGTGTGATAATATAATACACCAGATCAAACATCCCTCCAAGCAGAGCCTATATGCAATCATACCCATGTTCTTTTTCTACCATAAGCTCCACATGGAAAGACAAAGTCCAGAAGTCTGAGTAGACTCTGCTGTACACATCTGCCAAAACTTGCATGTGCCAGAAGCATCTTGAATTACCCAGAGTCCCAACACAGGAGCATATGCCTGGTCCATCAGCTGAGGTTTTCCAGAACTGTGTGAAAAGTGGTGCTATGGAGCACAGTGGATAATAATGGGTTAAGAAGCTGGAAATCATTCAATTTCTCATAAATAAAGATCTGAATTTATCTCTGTTGCTGCATAAAAAGTGCTCTACCTCCCCCTTGCAGCAGCAGTTGGCACTGTACTGATAAGAGAGGAAGAGAGAAAGGGAAAATAAGAGAGATAGGCAGAGAGAAGGAAAGGGAAAGGAGGGGAGGAGATAGGAGGGGAGAGAAGAGAAGAGGAACAAGTCAAAAGCTGAGGACAGCTAGAACACATTTGTATGCTCATGAGCAGCCAGTTACATTATACTCCCTAACAATGGGTGAACACTATCCATGAATACTTTGCTAAAATTGTTGAAGAACTTATCCTAATTAACACTTGCAGCAAGATTATAAAGCAGGTACAAACTGATGAATGATTACCATTCCTTACACAAAACCTGATATTTAGGAATCACAAAAAACCTTGTTAGTTCCACTGATTCTAGTAGCTATATTGACAAATAACATCCTTTTTGTTGAGTCCTGTCACCCACTCTGTAATCTAAGTTCAGGAGGGCAGGAACCTTGCATTTATCTCTGTCTTCTCTGGAGTGATCAAGCCATATGCCATAACACATGAGTCCAATCTACTTGGGCTGATGGACTGCGACCGCTGAAAGAAAACTTCTTGGTTTTAAAAATGTGCTTGGCAGAAAGGCAAAACATATTTCAGGAATAGTGTGAAGTCAGTAGGAAAATGAAATATGTAGAAATTTGCAAAGGAAGTGATGATGTCTTGGAAATATGTGAATGCAGCTCAGAATAGAGAGAAAATCAAGGTTATGAAGAAGCAGTCTCAAAAAAATAAACTGTGTGGAAGTAAAGGGTTT